GCGGCAGTGAGAACACAGAAAGTATAGATCTTCGTGCCCAACTCTTGCGTTTTGTCAGCACGGCCTCTTCTATTTCTCGTAAAAAAAAAAAAAAAAAGTTACAAACTGTCAGGCCTTGAGGTCACTAGGGATAACACAGGGGGTTGGGGTTTCATCCGCTCCTTCGTCCCCCAGCAAGCGCTGCGGGTCACCTTCCCACTGACCGGTGTGACCACCAGTAGAAAAGAGAGCGAGGCTGCTGCTGAAGGCAGGGCCTCTGGGGGGCAGGGTCCCCCCTGCGCTGGCCTTCGAGGGTTCGGTCCATGCTCTTTCTTCTGACCGAGGGCCAGGAGGGGCGGCCCTGATCGCTGGGTTTTCGCCAATCCACGAAGGAAGGAAAGCCTGCTCTTACAACAGTCGTGTGAGATCCGCTCATCTTCCTAGAGAGTAAATACAATCGATGATCGGGGCCTAAAGAAGCCAATTTGGCACATGGGCCAGGCTGCGTCCCCATGATGGGAGAGGCCTGGAAAGGTGAGACAGTCCAGGTCCAGAGCCCCCTTCATGGCAGGGAGCGTCTGAGGGCGTGTGTCCCCCACTCCCCCAGGGAGCAGACCCGATGCGGAGGAAGGCCGACTGCACCTGCTGGGATGCGTATACCTGCCTGGGTGTGTGCTCCTGCCTGGGAGCCTGCACCTGCCTGGGCGCCTGCACCTGCCTGGGCACGTTCACTTGCCTTGGCGCGTATACCTGCCTGGGCACGTGCAGCTGCATTGCGTGCGTGCACCTGCCTGGGCACGTATACCTGCCTGGGCGCGTGCACCTGCCTGAGAGCGTGCACCTGCACAGGGCACGTGCTGGGAAGGGCTGTCTTGGGTCAGGGAAGGGTGGGAAACTCAAGGCTGAGCCTTTCTCCAGCCCTGCGGGGCGCATGAGCCTCATGCAAGGGGAGCTTCGAGGGCTGGGTCTGGCCCGCGCAAGAGGCTGTGGGCTCTGATTAACGCTCCGAGGCCGCACCTGTACCTGTTACCGGACATATGCTTGTCGCTACAGCCATCTGCCGGACTGGCATCTGGCCCACTGGCGCTCGCTGGTGCCAAATGCCTACTTGAGAGGCATGCACCGAAGGTAGGCTTCGCCGGGCCGGCTGGCGTCTGGCGTCCTCTGGGGGAAGCAGCCAAGTGGGACCTGCTTCCTCCTGCAGAAGGCCAAGCCCCTCCTCGTGGTGCTGGAGCTCAGGCACCTCAGCCTTCTGTTCCTGATAGAAAATGATGTGTATTCTCTTTACTACTCGTAACCCTGAAGACGTTTGAATAGTCTCTCAACGCCCCGGGCAGCGCGTGCCCTTCCCACCTACCATGCGGACTCCTGGCGGCACTTGTCACCTGGCCTCCATTCAACATCACACTTCCTGCCCTGTCGCCTCCCTCGCTCAGTCCCTGGTGACCTCAAAGGGAAACGCGGAGGCCAGCACCTCTCAAACCGTCCAGTCCTCCGTGGAAAGAAACTGTCATTTCTACACTCAGGGCAGCGCACACGCATCTCAGAGTTCTAGGGTCAGGATGGCCATATAGTAAGAGATCGCAGAAAGGATTTTTACCGCTCCTTCTCCAGGCATCTCTTCTTAAAAACAGGGCGGGAGAGTCATGGAATTCCCGGAAATGTGTTCTCAGCAGCGCGATGTCCCCATCAGGAGGTGAACGCAGCTCCTTGGCGGGCCCCAAGCCCTTGGCGGGGACAGCTGTCTGTGCGCCTTCAAATGGCTGCCAGACTCACGTGTCTATGGTATGTCTGGGACATAAAAATTTTATGGGAAGAGATTAAGAAAGAAATGTCTGAAAGACTCTGAAAGGGGCAGTGATAGGAAACGTCTGAAGGTCACTGATGCAGGGGGTGGCCACTCGAGAGGCTGTGGTGACATCACAATGGACTGAGCAGGAGACAAAGATGGTAGCGGCTTACATAGGCGAGCTCCTCCCCTCTGGCTCTGAGCCCGCTGCCTGACGAGACAGACCCCGGTCTACTTCCAAGGAGATGACATTCCAGTTGGAAAAAGGAGAGTAAATAACAAGTCAAATATCAGTTAAAAACCAGAAGGACCCACTTAAATAGGTGACGGGGACGTCTTCTCTGAGGAAGGGCCATTTCAGTCAACACCTGAGCAATGAGAAGGAGCCAGCACCCCAGACGGAGGGGGCTACAAACATACTGAAGGGGACAGTGGCAGTGGGGACTGAGAGGGGTCCAGTGCACCCCAGGACGGGGAGGAGGGTTTGCATGCGACTCTGAGACTGTGGGGAAGGGGAGCTCTGCTGTTTGAACACTTTCCTAGGAACACGTGTGCCTCTGGAACCTGAGAATGTGGCCTTATTTGGAGATAGGGTCACTGCCGAGGTCATCAGGGTAAGACCAGGTGGGTGAGGATGGGCCCTGGCCAGTGACTGGCCTCCTGTAAGAAGCAGGAACACCACACACACACACACACACACACACACACACTCGGAAGGGAAGCAGCCATGGGCCTCCGAGTGCCACACACCGGGACACCCAGGGCTCCCTGCCACCACCAGACTCGGGAGGAAGCGGGAGGGCGTGGCTCTGCTGACACCGTGACTTTGGACTTCCAGCCCAGGGGACCACGCGAGAATACTGTGTGGCTGGCAGGCAGCCCAGGAAAAGAAGGGCCCAGCCAGCAGCTCGGCCGGGCCGGGCGCCACGGGGAAGAGTTTGAGTTTCACTCAACAGGCAGAGGGGAGCAGGTAGGATCTGCAGGTAGTGCGGTCCTGTAACGGGGTTTCCATTTAAAAAGGTGTCCACGCTCGGTGGCGGCTCCGAGGACAGCAGGGACGTGGTGGCTGTAGAGGTTCCAGCGGGGCCCAGGGGTGCTGTCCAGGGGCCATGGAGGGGTGGGTGGGCCAGAGATGGGGACAGCCCAACATGAAGCTGGTGGCAGGAAGGTGGTAGCAGTGGAGAGAGGGGTGGGGATGGGGCTGGACTGCAGGGGTAGCGCTGGCCTCGGCCCCGGGTCCCGCAGAAGGTGGCGCTGGCCTCGGCCCCGGGTCCCGCAGAAGGTGGCGCTGGCCTCGGCCCCGGGTCCCGCAGAAGGTGGCGCTGGCCTCGGCCCCGGGTCCCGCAGAAGGTGGCGCTGGCCTCGGCCCCGGGTCCCGCAGAAGGTGGCGCTGGCTTCGGCCCCGGGTCCCGAAGAAGGTGGCGCTGACCTTGACCCCAGGTCCCTCAGGTCCTGAGAACGTCCGTGCGTCCCTCCATCACTGCCGGAGCCAGACCTACTCTTGTTCATTATTACTTCTGTGGCCCCTGGGTCCCCGCCCCACTTCAGATGGGTGGGGGCCTGTGCCCCACCAGCCCCCTCACTCCTGGGGGAGCTTTCCAGGTGGGGCTTGCTCCTTTCTTCCCTGACATTTCACGTAACACAGTTGATTTAATTTTATTTCCTGTTTGGTGTCTTACAGTTCTCATAGTGCCTCAAGGAACTTGGGCAACATTATCAGACGCCTGTTTTGGGGGGATTTGAAGGATCCACTCGCTGCACCCCAACACCTGCTTCCCTGTGCGTCAGTCCCATCCCAGGATGAGGCCTGACCAGGGACCCTCCCGTGCTCAGGCTGACGGCTACCCACATGTTTCAACTTTCATCACAATTGATATTCTTCCATGTGGAGGCAACAAAGAAAATATATAGTTCCCGATACATTGATTTTCTCCAGAAATTTATTGATGATATAAAAGGAAGTTAAGCAAAACATGTCACCTTTACAGTTATTTTAAATATCTTTGTGAAATCGTCCTCTTAAAAAAGATGGGAACGTTTGAGGGCTGAGGCATTCCGTGAGGTGCGGGGTCTCAGTTCCCATGCTGGGTGACACAGAAGCCATCACAGGACACCTGTCCTCTGGAGGTAGTCATTTTCCACGTAGAGCAAAACCTGGAAATGCCAGAGGATTAAGGGTCTTCTGATTTTCTGACCTGGAAGGGCTGATCAGACTCATTTACAGCGACTTGAGTTGGATACGCTGACGTGTAAACAGCTGTTGCCTAATCAAAACCACTGGATCCCAAGAGGCAAACAGAGAAAACTACTGTTTTGGTGCTTGTGGGAACCCATCACATGATTTGAATTCGTTGCTCTGATTGTACAGTCAGCTGTGAAAGCCCCTGACGTGGACACGCAGGTGGGCGTGTGGGGGGAGGGACGTGGGCACAGAACAACCACATTCTTGTTTCGGCACGACGTCGCTTTGCGGGTTTCTCCCCCAGACTAGCTCATGTGGACAAATGATGTCCCCAATGTGCAAAACCTGAGTTTGCAAAGACCCGGAAACTAACAAAAATGAGTGGCTGGAGGAGAAAGAAAGCCTAAATCAATTCAACAAAGTGAAGAGGTGACAAAAAAGGACCAGTGATGTGAAAAATGTGAATTTTTCAATGTGAACATGAATTTCAGTGTCAACGTGAGAAATAATGACATGGGAGAGAAATGTGGGGTCTCAGCCCCTCCCCCCCCCGCCTTGGTCACACCATGTCCTTTCTGAGCATGACCTGTGCTCTGGACACAGGAGGCTGAAATGCAGCCAACTGTACCCTGCCTTGTCTCTGCCTCTGAACGGCACCGACTTTTTTGTTTATGATGGAAATCAGTATGTGAAAAGAAATCAACCTGCCAATATGTTCTTGTTTTTCTCCACCAGCAAGGAGCTCTGCTGATTTTGAAAAGCCAAAAGGAACACGGGCTGCCTCTTATAAGTAAGTCCCCCCAGGAAGTCTCACCTCTGGAAGTCATGCTTTCTTGAGGGACAGTCCAAGCTACTTGGCTTGTCTGACCTTGCAGGGGCTTGAAAGCAAGCCCGTGGGATGGGGTGCCCTTCTTGAGGTGCCTTGGAAGCCACGCTGCGGAGAGCGGGTCGGGCAGGCTCACGGGGTGGGGAGGAAAGTAAACCCCAGCACACTAGGGAGGTCCTTCTGCAAAAAGGGGCTGCCTGCCCGCAGAGACCAGGCACCTTCCTAGACTCTTTCACCGAGCGCCGTGACTGCCGCCTGGCTTACCTATGCAAGTCTGCCAGTCCACAATTACCCAGTCCCCCGGGAGTTTGGGGGGCAGAAGCATGACAGGGTACTCTAATTCTCACAAGCATTTTATTGTACTTTTTAAAATGTAGCCTTCATCTGTCTTCTGCCTATGATTCCCTCTCATCCTGTGCCCCGTTCCACCCTGGCCTTCTCATCTTGAAGGAAGGAAAAATAAATTTACATCAATCTTAGGATATTCTTGCCAGACCTACTCGATTCGATTGTTCAAAGCTCTTGGATTTGTGTATAAATATATATCTCTCTCATAAAAAGCAAAGCCCAAAACCTCAAGCAATTTGAAACACACAGTTAAATGAGTGACAATATTTATCTTTTGGAAACGGCCTTTAAATAAAGACTCAGAGGAAAAACAAAAGAAAAATAATCATTTGGTATATTTCCCCAACATATTGGCTTTTTAATTGTCAGTGTATGCATTCTAGCTTCCGCCAAGAAATCTGCATCTGCGCTTATTACTAAAGATTGAGCGTCACCAGGAAATTCTGTTACTATGGCAAACGCTTTTATGAGAAGAGTAATGAAATGAGGGTAACTCACAAAATGCATGGCTAAAACCCGAAGCCAGGAAAACGGTCTTCGCTCTTGGGCTTTAGAGGAAATAGTGACAATTAAATCAAATATTTAGCAATCACTTGCTAAGTAAACAACGCTATTCTGAGAGCCGTGGGGAAACAAAGGCAAACGAGAGGTCGGTTTTCTGGTCTCAAGGACCTTCCTTTCTAACGGGGAAAGGCAGACATAGTCACACGAGAAGTTAAAGATAAGCTCAAAACAACAGGCAGATGATTACCTTAATATAAGACATGCATGTTTAATTGAGAAATAAATTAGACAGTGGCTTTGAAGGGTGAGGGAGCCAGGATGGGGCCATGTTTGCCCAAGGAAGTCCTTGCTGGGGAAGAGATCTGGGAGTTGACTTTAATGGCGGAAGGCGTTGGGATAGGTCAGAGAGAGTGAGGATTGTGGAGAAGTTAAATTATATATATGACGGCTTAGCGGATTATCTAAAACATGGGGCATCTATGAAGTTAGAGGTGGGATCCTAGATTAAAAAGAGGAATGAGTCTACATTCTGCAACGGAGGTGGGAGTTCCATTTGAAATGCTAAGGGATTTGGATATTATCCTATAGAAGTGGAATAGAAGCTGAAGAGTTTTGATGGGTTTTGGTTTCCTTCTTCTCTCCAAAAGATGACAGCTGTCCAGTGATGGCAGTCAGTATTGGCAGCGGGGAGCGGAGGCAGTTCTAATTCAGTAGTTCATTTACTCGTCATCCAGTCTTGTTCTAGCTCCGGCTAGGAGGTTGGCAAACATGTTTCTGAAGTGTGTTACACTTGGTGTTTCCAGGCTATCCCAGTATAGCCCAGCCTCTCCAGGGTTTGGGCTTTCTGCCAACAAGCCCCAATCTGTCCATGAATCAACTTTCAACGCCTGCTGCAGTAACTCCCCAAAGCTTACTGCCCACCTGCTTGAACCCGCTGGTTTCCAGGGATACAGACATGGTCCGCCCCTGGTCCCACCAGGCAGCCACTGCCTGTCAAGAGCAGTTCCTGGCTTTTGTGTGGAGGGCATACACACCGCACACATCCTTGACCATCTTCAGACAATCTCCTGGTTGCCACTCACCTCTCCAGATTCACGTTTCCACAAGCCTATCGCTAGAATGGTCAAGTCTTGTCTTGATTACGCTTCCATAGCTGGATGCTTAGACATAAGGAATCCTCTGTCTGCACCTGGGGCTGTAGCTCAGCTTTTGTCCACCTAGTGCCCCATAGCTAGCCAGGCGAGGCCAAGGAATAGAGGTATAAAGCAGGGCATTAAGAGCATTAAACTTGCTATTGTATAAAATGTATTAGAAAGTAAAAAATGGTAGCAAGGAATCTAGTTAAGAGGAGTTAAATGTACCATGAGGGAGAAAGCCCTGGGCACGGGAGATCATAAAGGGACAGAAAAGGAAGTAAGAGAAATGAAAGAGAAAAAGAAAAAAAAAAAGAATGGGGAAAGGGCTGGGGGCCTCCTGGCCCCGAAGAACAAGAAAAGGGGTGTCAAAGGGCCTGGAGAGCTGCTTGTGTGAAGGACAGAGGCAGGGAATGAGGGCACCACCAGCACAGATGGGGAAGCAGAAGGGACACTGAACATCGGTACATTGAATTTAATTCCACAATATAATAAAAGTGGGACTTTTCCTTGATGCCTTACAGTGAGAGAGGTTGCTAGTGGGCGGTTTTGTCAGTGAACAAGTCAGTAAGAGATAAAAAAGTGAGTTTAGAGAACTGTTAATATTTAAGTAGAAGTCGAGGGAGGGAGGGAGAGGAAGCAAAGCCAATAAAGAGAGAAGTAAAAGCCAAAGAGGGTTGCAATTAAACCAAGTTATTTTAAAGTCACAAAAGTCAAATAAATAGCCCAAATTTAAGTGGAAATATTGCTGTTATGTCAAATGGTCTTGAGAGGTCACAGTGAATGCAGAAAACACGGAACACAGGCGTGAGGAACTCACTTAGGCTCACCGGTGCAATCCCTCTCTGGTGATGGAGACAGAAACGAGACTATGCTAGCCGAGAAGTCAACAATTATAAGTAATCCTGCAAGCCTGCAGCTAGATTTGGGGAAGAATAAGTAGTAATCATTGAGCGATTTGGCGATGAAAAGCGTGAGAACTTCTGCTCTGTGTGTGAGGACAGAGAAACCAGTCCCTGCATTTGTAAAGGCTGGAAAGGGGGACAAAGGAAGCACTTATTTAGAAAGGGGGAAGAGGAAGATAGAGTGAAGCTCTCATGCCTCTTGACCTGTTCTGTAAATAGAGGTGAAATCATTTATGTCGAAGGGATCTGGAGGGCTCAGTACGTGAGGAGAGGAAACATGGTGGGGAAGGTCATCACAGATTATGAGTTGGGGGAAAACAAGGTAGGCAAGAAACCCGGAGAAAATCATAGGGGTGCAGCAATAAGGGCTTGTTAAGGGTAGAGAATATGTACACCTACTGTGAGCCCAGGCAGCTTGGTGGGAACAAGGCTGTGGAGTCCAACTACAGGGCAAGAAGGAAACCAGTGAAGATGCCCCGAAGGCCGATCCTGCCCCGTGGACGTGGCTGAGGCTCAGATGGGAAGGAAGTCTGTGACATTGAAGTAGCTTACCATTGAGTCTCATCTGGACCAATTTTGAAGTTCAGGGTTATCAGCAGGGGCATGGAGAGCGGCAGGTTGTTGAGGAAGCACAGGTGCGCAGGTCGGCTGTGGGGCGGAAAGCAGGGACCAGAACAAGAGGAGGGAAGCTGGATGGGGGAGGCGCGCTGCTTCTGGGCTGGCGTGGTCCGTGGCATCGTGAAGCAAAGAAACACGTACGGTGAGGCACTAGATAACCGCATTTAAAATAGGGATCTTCTAGATAGGATTTCTCAACCCTGCATCATGACAGTCTGGGCTGGATCCTTCTCTGTTGTGGGGCTGTCCTGTGTAGCAACCCCCGGTCTCTATCCACCTGACGCCATAGTACCCCCCTCCATTTTGACAACGAGAAAGCCGCCAGACATTCCCAGATGGCCCCCGTGGGGAAAGGGGGTGTGCAAAATTGCCCCAATGTTGAGAACCTCTGCGGTAGATGATAGCAGATTTTAAGGAACAAGAGAAAAATAGCCTAGCAAAGAAGTCCTCAGAATATGAGAAGAGAGTTAACAAATACAAGCGATTTGCTGAATGGATAAACAAAATATGGGATATTATTCAGCTTTAAAAAAGGACATTCTGATACGTGTTACAATAGGGATGAAACTTGAAGATGTTCTGCCAAATGAAATAAGCCAGACACAAAAAGACAAATATCATATGATTCCATTTATAGGAGGTCCCTGAAGTCACCAAATTCATAGAGACAGCAAGTAGCATAGAGGTCACCAGGGGCTGGAGGAGAGGCAGGGGGCGAGTTAGGGTTTAATGGGGCCAGTGTTCCAGCCGCGGATGACGGAAACCTTCCAGAGACGTGTGGCGGTGATGGGTGGCCGATGACAATGCACTTAGTGCCGCTGAACCGAACACTGAAAAACTGTTAAAATGGTAAACGTTCTGTGGTGTATATTTTATGACGATACAAAACAGCATCTGTACACAGTGGTCAGGTGCGGTGCGTGCTTGTTGTGACCTCTGGTTCTCAGTGGCTCAGAAGGGCGTTTAGCAGCCACAGTGGTGATTGAAAGAGAGAAGAGCAGAGGGGCTCCTGGGTGGCTCAGTCAGTTATGCCTCTGACTTCGGCTCAGGTCAGGATCTCAAGGTTCGTGGGTTCGAGCTGTGTCTGGCTCTGTGCTGACAGCTCAGAGCCTGGAGCCTATTTTGGATTCTGTGTCTCCTTTTCTCTCTTTCTGCTCCTCTCCCACTTGTGCTCCGTCTCGAAAAAAAAACAATAAACATTAAAAAAATTTAAAGCAAAAAGAGAGAAGAGCAGAAACTTCATGTGCTGGCTGTTGGGGTGAGTGGTAAGTAGGCATGTGTATTAGTCAGCTTGGTGCCGTAACACAACACTGGGACTGGGGATCTCAGACAAGAGAAATCCGAGTTCTCAGAGTCCTACAAGCTGGAGTGTGGGACCAGGTGCGTCGGGGTCGCTGTGTGTCGAGGACCCTCCTCCTGGCTTGCCGACTCCCTGCTCAATCTCCTTGGCCTTTTCCCTGTGCATGCAACCTCCAGAGGTCTCTTCTGGGAGAATCCAGTTCTACTGGATTAGATCCTCATCCATGCAGCTCTTCTATCCTTGGCTGCCTCCTAAAGTGCCCTGTCTCCAAATATAGTTGCAAGAAGGGTTAGGGCTTCAACAGGTGACTTGGGAGGGGGGGCATAGTTGGGTCCACATCACTTCCTTCTTCCCCATTTAGATTGGGCACTGGGCGAAGCTGGCCTGAGAGGGCAGGAAGGCAGTGGGGTCAGTGTGTTCCTGACCCAGGCATAGGCTGTCCTGCAGGTAAACAGATGGCAGAAAGCAGTGACAGAGGGGTGCACCCTGCAAGGAAAAGCAGCCGCCATCCACGGGTGCGGAGACAGCAGCCTTGGGCAGGAGCAGTCCTGGGGACTGTCACTAGAAAAAGACACACGGTTTATGGCCTTGGGAATAAATGACGGCTGGTGCATTTGTTTACAAGGCAGAGAACCGCTTAAAACCACAGATATTTACAACACTCTAAATATA